CATCTATAAGAATACGAGTCCCACGATAAAGTGTAACTTCTGGTTCATATTCTTTGAGAATTTGAAATTTTTGTAATAAACTTTTACATAAATCCGTAATAAAAAAACGAAAAATATATAATTGATCAAGATCTTCTGTACGTAAAGCTTTATTCACATGTCTATAAAGAAAAGGTTGACCTGTATACCATTGAATGGCATCATCAGATTTGTATGTTTCCTTAAAAGTTTCAATTAATTTCATTTGTTTATTATTATTATGATATCGTTGTTTTAAATATTGAATAAGATCTTCTTTTGCATTTATATCATTACTTGGCATGTTCAAAAGTGCATTTTTAAATAGTTGAAACCAAAGAAATGCAGCTGATTCTTTCGAGATTTCACGAGCTAATTTTTTATGTTGATTATAAAATGAAAAAGTCACGTTTTGCTTTTGAGATAAATAAATATTTTCTTTAATTAATTTATGTAACATTTTCGTATCATGAGCACAAGAAATAATCTTTGAGTAATCTTTGAATAAATCTTCAAATTTTTCATTAGTATGAGATATCAACAAAACTGAATAAAGTTGTCGCATTTTATGAATAAATGGTAAAATATTACGTGCATTTATTGGTGATGTAATAAAAATTATATCATTTTTTGGTTTTGATTCAATATAACTAATGCACGAGTGAAGTTTGGTAAACGCAGTGAAATAAAAATTCATGTGTTCACATGATGATTGATTTTCTATTTCCGTTACACAGTCATCAAAATCCAAATCATACCATATTAATATGATATCGTCTTCCATGGTTAAAATTATTTTATCATTTTACATTCAAGATCAGCACTAGGGCTGTTACTTTATCTTTATTTTACCTAATAATAAAGAGTAAAGTAGATATCTATATTTATAAAATAAAGATAAAGTAAACTTTTATCTTTATAAAATAAATATAAAGTTTTTCTTTATTTTCAAAAATAAAGATAAAATAAAGAATAAAGATTTTTATCTATTGAAACGTATTTATTGTCTTAGAGTAGCTCACAAAAGATTATGATATTATATAGTTAACTATAATATGGAATAGTATCTTTTGTATATATCGTTTCTTGTGTGATCTAATATTATTCTATCATCCTCACGTACCCACACGCATACCCTGAAATGAAGAATCTTTTAGTGGAGCAAAAAAAGACTTTTCAGATATTTATTTTACTATATATTGTGAGACAATAGATTGAACGTATTGTTTTTTTGTCTTACTGGTAAAAGTGTTGTATGTTTTTATGGCTTTCTTGTAAATATATATAAAGGCTTCTAAAATATGTTTAGTTGATTCTTTTTATACCTGTGATTTATTGTTTTTATTTAAAAAGAAAAAGAAGATAATGAAAAAAAGTTTATTCGTAAATCAATTCTAAATTATTACATTTATGTTGATATATCTTTTTCTAAATGTGACGTTTGTTCTGCTATTTGTTTTGCATTTGAACAAATGGGACAACATTGAAGAGTTTGTTCATTTGGAAATCCTACAGTATCATATCCACCATTAAACATTGATAAGTTTAGTTGACTCCAATTATGAAACGATTGATTTGGATCAGAATTAGAATTTTTTGTTTTCATTAGATATTGTATCCATGTATTGACAATTAAACATGCTCCAGATACACACACACCAATCCAACTTCCAACCGTTCTCGTTGGAAATGATCTATCTTTTGGTATGAATTCAATTGATTGATGTCGTTGAATAGATTGTGGTAGCAATAATTTCAACACTTTGTGTTGATAAAGAGGCATAAATAGTGTTGATAATTGTAATACTGAAGGTTGATGTAAATTTAATTCTCTAGAACATTCTTCAATAATAGATTGTGCTTGTTCACCTGATATACAACATATTTCTTTAAGTAATAGTTGAATATCATTTCTATTTTCTATTTCTTCAATGTTGAATTTGAATGAATCATTTGTATTATTATTACATGCCCAACATGGATCATTTAACAACCCAGAAAATAGATTAATTTCAATATTATTCGCATATGTCGAACCAGCTACATATAAAATACCTAATGATTTACATAATGAGTTTACTGCATAATCAAATACAGCTCCATAATCAATATTATTAAATATAACTGTACATTTTTTAGCTATCTCAACAACACAAAACCAATTTGTAACAGCATCCATATGATAATCATAGATATTTGTTCTTAAATTATGAATGCATTTTAGATGTTGAGCTGCAACTTCTACTTTTGATTTACCAATATCTAATAAACTAAATAGTATTTGTCGATTTAAATTAGATGCATCCACAAAATCACGATCAAGTAAATATATAGTATCGACACCCATTCTTACAACAGACATTGCAATACTGCTACCTATACCACCAACACCAAGGACAAAGACATGTTGTTGCTCAACAGACTGTTGGTCGAAATTTTTCATAACACGTTGTCGATCAAATACATCTCCATGTATTTCTGGTGGAGGTTGTTTTCCTTCTGTTACAATATAATCTAACTTATATTTACTTGTTGCATTTACTTCTATTTCATCAGACATATTTTAATATCATATACTAAAATAAAAGGTGTAGAAAAAAAAGAACAAAACGCACGTGTTTGTTCTATGACATAGAACAGAATAATAAATGTTTGGTTACTAATCAAAACATTCATATTGTAGCAATACATTGCCACTTGAAAAAAAAATCTGTTATAAGTGCTAGCAGCGATGTAAAAGTATAACACCACAAACATTTTTTTCTTATTTTCTTTGTAAATAATTAGTATACATATGTGTAGTCATACACAGTATAAAGATACGCTCACAAGAGCGAACAATAAGTATTCATACATAAAAGAAGGTCGCCATCGAAGTAAACACATATTTTTCAAAAAAATTTAAAAAAATGTTTATTTTTTTGGTAATAATTTCAACAATAAAATATAATATGTAAATGCCTATTGCAATTCAACTCATGTATGAGAAGTCAAATGAAACTTAATGAGCTCTACTTCGCGCTATAGATCGTCAAAATTTTTGTTATTTTGTCTAAACAAAGCAAAAACTGTAACGATACAAATACCGATAAGATGAGTGACAATATTATGTAAATTCAACAGCGCTTTAGTAGATAAATGGAAATATGATCCTTAACTAATATTGAATATAAACGATAGTCAAAGATTATGGTGTCAATTATAGAAGATGAGATGTATTTGAAGAAAATAATCTGAGAATAATGCTTTCAATAGGCTGTGGGTGTGAGCAGCTATGGACAGAGCAGGATACCCACATCCACACCCTCAAGATAGTTGATATTAATGATGGAAAACTAGCTAATTTTTATTATAAATATAATCTAATAAAAAATCTTATGATCGCGCTTGAAAATTACTTTTAAAACAAATGGAAGAAAAATCTTCATCGCAACAACAAGAATATGATAATAAATTACTTAAAGTAAATCAATTTATTCATTATTCTATATTTATTTTTACTCATTTTGTAGTTCTATCAAGCAATGAATATGAAATATTTGATTGCATACCAAGAACATTTAATTATTGCTAAATATCCTCCAACTTATCTTCTATTTTGGTTTATTTTCTTTCTTTGCTAAGTTTTCGTTTAATAATCAAGACGAAAAATAAAGAATGATACATTCAATATTTTCATCCTTGTCTTTCTTCAATTATTAATCTTGAGGATGTATAGTGTGGGTGTCCATATCGGTATACATAATAAGTAGCTCACCCACACCCTCGAGATAAGCATTGTGCGTACAAAACAATTCCCTTCAATTAAACACAATCAATTATTGCTATCTTCATCAATTCTTTCAATTTATCAAGTAAATTAATTTTAGTTTATGTTAATCTCGTCTTCGCAACAGACAATATAATTTAAAAACATTTTTTCTTCTTTATTGAATTCAGATGTAGTAACAGAATAATCTAAAAAACATTTTTTTTACATAATTAGAAATAATAAATAGATTGGTAGATATTAGAGTTGTCTGTATTTATTATTTTAGTAATCAGAAGTTGCTTAGATCATAATAATAAATAATAATATAATCGAAATGTACATCGCAGCTATTCAGATAAACTTTTGTGTTACAATGTAGTGCTTAAAAAGGATTTTGCCTCGACGATCATTGTCAGAATTGTGTTCAAAAAATATTACAAGAGGTTCCAATAAGAGCCCGAATATTTTGACAGTATACTGGACACGTCTTAGTTTTTTGAGTCAGTGATGTTTTTTCTGAAATTTGAATAAAATATCAAGTTTTTGAGCACAAGATGCAGAGTATGAGTTCGAAACAGAAGACAGTAACACTGACAGATAACATCAGACTTATATTTCACTGAGAGTGAAATTATGGATAATGGAGTTGATTTGACGAATTCTGGAGGATTTAGCCAAACCTCTCTTAATTCTAACGAATCCTAAGTGAATCAGAAAATTCTATTGGACCATAACAAATCTTTGTGAACTTCAGTAGATCATAGTAGTCTCAGCAATATTCTGGTAAACTCTACAGGACTCAGAAAGATTCAATTACACTTTGTGTAATCTTGACAAATGATAATAGACTCTGGTGGACTCTTACAGAGCCATCTTAGTATTTATTGAGCGTGAGAACATGTCAAAAAATTAGATACAGTTATACAGTTAGTTGAGCTAATAGATGGAACCAATCTGGATTGTTTATGATCTATAGGGTGTGGTTATGATAAAAGCAACCCACATCTATCTATACCCTCAACATTCTTTAGTCAAATGGATTATCAAGTCAAATTCAAAAAAATACTGGTGGAAAAGTTAAACATCTGTTCTTGTTCAGACACTCTTCATCTTAAAAAAAAGACTAAAAAAAATACTCATCTACATTATGTATAATCTTTTCACTCGTCGGCGGCTGGAAAATTTATAAAAGATATTTTTTTTCCAAATTGAAAAACATCTTTATTTCAATATATCACTTATAATCTGCTCAAAAACAGTGTAGACAACAACTGTTACATTCTTTCCTATTTTATGTACAACATAAAATGCAAAAATCAAATTAGGATTAACAGACAATCATTAACAATATTGCAAGTTAAATAAAGATCAATATAAAAGAACGAAAATTTGATTTTCACTTACATTGACGTCAGCGGCGGCGGCAGCCCGAAAATATATAATTTTTTGCCTATCCGCGGCGGCCTAACCGATCAGCTTACACCTCTAATGTATCATTCTCTTTTCAAACACTGTTAACAAAGCATACAAAAATACTTTCAATAACACATACTATAAAAGCAGCATCACATAACATATTTTAACACTCTTCATCAAAAATCTAACAAAAGTATGTGCCCATTTGTTACATTACCAGTAGAGCTCGTTTATCGAATTCTGGACCATGAAACCGATTATACTTTGTTGTGCTCAATGCAAAATGTCTGCCAACGATTTAATCAAATCCTTAACTCTTATCATCGATACCAAGTAAGTCTTCTATATAGTTTCAATAGGTAACTATCATTCAATGAATTCATTAGGAGACAACATAATTAATTAAGTTAAAAGCATCTATGGAAAGCTAGTCAGCCATGATACTAAGTAATCTTTTAAAACAAAACCATCGCTTCTTTCTCTTTTACCCTGATAATTATTTCGATACAACTGCAATATGCTTCTTATCAAACATGGAGTCATCAGAGAAAAATGAAAACATAGAGTTAAAGGGGACGTTCGTATTTTGAAATAGTGTATATATTACAGCATTCCAGTGCTTCCAATGTATTTCTAATATAACATTAACAACTTTCGTCTACTTTCATCCAAAGTTCAATAAATGACAATCAATTAGTTATTCTGTTAGTTAGGCCCTGATGATGTAGATGTGGGTGTAAATCTCGATGAAAGGAGTAATCGCATCCACACCCACACCCACACCCACACCCACACCCACACCCACACCCTCACCTCACAGTTCATCTCGGTAGCAATCAGATCGGAGACAAGGAAGCATAATACCTTGCTGGTTCGTTGAGAAACAATACAGTAAATCTCACTCTCTCTTGAACTATCTCAAGTATGCATTTACACTTTTTTACACAGACACTTACAACACTTCATCTCTCAAACAATCGAATCGGACACGAAGGCGCACAACATCTTGCTGATTCATTAAGAAACAACACAGTAAATATCATTCTCTCTTTAACTATCTTATACCAACATTCACACTTTTTCACACAGATACTCACCACACTCGATCTCTTCACCAATGAAGTCGGAGACGAAGGAGCACAACATCTTGCTGATTCATTAAAAACTAATATAGTAAATCTCATTTTCTTTACAACTAACTCATACACACATTTACACTTTTTCATATAGACACTTACCACACTTCATCTCGTCAATAATCACATCGGACACGAAGGAGCACAACATCTTGGTCATTCATTAAAAATTAATACAGTAAATATTATTTTCTCTTCAACTAAACTATCTCATACACACATTCACACTTTTTCATACAGACACTCACTAAACTTGATCTCCGTATCAATAAGATCGGAGATAAGGGAGTACAACATCTTGCAGAGTCATTGAAAAAAAATACAGTAAATCTCACTCTCTCTCGAACTATCTCAAATATGCATCTACAATTTTTCACACAGACACTTACAACACTTCATCTCTCAAACAACCGAATCGGAGACGAAGGAGCAAAACATCTTGGTGATTTATTGAGAAACAACACAGTAAATCTCATTTACTCTTAGACTATATCATACGAACACTTACATTTTTTCACACAGATACTTACCACACTTAATCTCCTCAATAATCAAATCGGAGACAAGGGAGTACAACATCTTGCTGATTCATTGAGAAGCAACACAGTAAATGTCATTTCCTCTACAACTATTTCACACACATTTACACTTTTTCACGCAGACACTCACCAAACTTGATCTTGGTGTCAATCAAATTGGAAACAAGGAAGCACAACATCTTGCTGATCTATTAAGAAACAATACAGTAAACCTCATTTTCTCTTAAACTATCTCATAGAAAACATTTATATACTTTCACGCAGACACTTACAACACTTGATGTCGGATACAATGAAATCGGACACGAAGGAGCACACTATCTTGGTGATTCATTAAAATACAATAAAGTAAATCTCATTTTCTCTTAAATTATCTTATACAAATACTTACATTTTTTCATACAGAAACTCATCACACTTAATCTCCCCGAAAATCAAATCGGAGATAAGGGAGCACAACATCTTGCTGATTCATTAACAAACAATATAGTAAATATTATTTTCTCTATAACTATCTCATATAAGTATTTGCATTTTTTCACACAGACACTCAACACACTTAATCTCGGTTATAATCGAATCGGAGAGAAGGGAGCACAACATCTTGCTGACTCATTAAAAAACAACACAGTAAATATCATTTTCTCTTCAACTATCTCAAATGTGTATCTATATTTTTTCACACAGACACTCACCACACTTCAGCTCTATCATAATAACATAGGAGAGATGGGAGCACAACATCTTGCTGCTTCATTAAAAAACAATTCGGTAAATCTTATTTTCTCTTAAACTATCTCATACAAACATTTGCAATTTTTCGCACAGACAGTCATCACAATTCAACTCGCATGCAATCATATCGGAGAGAAGAGAGCACAATATCTTGCTGATTCATTAAGAAACAATAAAGTAAATCTCATTTTCTCTTAATCTACCTCATACAGACATTTACTTTTTTTTTACACAGACACTCACCACACTTGATCTCGGTGGCAATTACATCGGAGACAGAGGAACACAATACCTTGTTGATTCATTAAGATACAACACAGTAAATATCATTTTCTCACCAACTATCTCGTAAACACATTCACACTTTCTCACATAGACACTCACCACATTTGATCTCTCAAGCAATGAAATCGGAGACAGAGGAGCACAACACCTTGCTGATTCGTTAAGCAACAATACAGTAAATGTCATTTTTTCTTCAACTATTTCATACACACATTTACATTTTTTCACACAGGCACTCACCATACTTAATCTCTTTGACAATCAAATTGGAGACAAAGGAGCAGAAGATCTTGGTGATTCATTAAGAAATAACACAGTAAATCTCATTCTCTCTTCAACTATCTCATCATGCAAATATTTACACTTTTTCACACAGACACTCACCACACTTAAGCTCGGTATGAATCAAATCGGCGAGAAAGGAGCACAACGTGTTGCTGGTTTATTAAAAAACAATACAGTAAATCTCATTTTTTCTTCAACGATGTCCGACTAACATTTACACTTTTTCACACAGACACTCACTACACTTGATCTCCAACATAATCCAATCGGAGACAAGGGAGCGCAACATCTTATTGATTCATTAAGAAACAATACAGTAAATCTCATTTTCCCTTCAACTATTTCATAGAAACATTTATATTTTTCACACAGGCACTCACCACACTTATTCTCTTCGCCAGTAAAATCAAGAAGAGTATTTTAGATCGTGTGGATGAACTTATTCAAAGGAATGAACAATTGGCAAAATCGTAAATGTTAGTGGTGAAGATACTATTATGATGAACAAGAAGAATGTCTTTATCGTCTTATTAGGATTTCATTGCATGACTGACTTAAAAATGTCAATAAAGTTGTTTGATTGTTTGAAACTATGTTTACTAAAATGTGGATCTTGTTCTATGTTTTTTACTGAAAAATGATCATAATATATTGATTCTTGTTTAAGCTGTACTCGAAACTGAAGGAGATGTGATAGTATAATTTCAAAGTATTATTTGTGATTCTGTCATTTATTTTTTTTCATAAATCGATCTTACATTAATAGAACATAGTTCCCACCTATTGCGTATTGATGAAACGAAATGAACTAACATAAAAGATGATCAGTAGATGTCATGTAGAATACGATGAAACGAAAAAAGTTATTCAGTGTATGTTGTCATGTTAATTGCTAAGTTGATGCTGGTTTCACCTGATTTTGAATGGCATAGTATTTCTGAGAAAATCAGAGAACTGGTCGAAAACTAACTGATCGAGAAAGTATCAGGTTCATCTTTTGATCTATAATATATTTGACATAGGATTAAGGAAAATTTGAAGCGTTGGTAATTTTGATGGTGAATTAATGATGCTCTGGGAAAATATTATTTAAGTATTTATTTATGAGATGGTGAAATCTAGGGTGTGGGTGTGGGTGTGGGGTGTGGGTAAAATAGAGCGGGTGTGGATGAAAATGAACTGGGTGGGTGGGATAGACTGGAGGTGGATGGAATCAGATGGGTGTGGGTAGAACAGGGTGGGTGGATGAAAGTGAGCTGACTGGGTGAAATAGTATGAGAGTTCGTGGAATAATGTGGTTGTGGAAAATTCTTGGCACATTGGCGCATGCAAAAAAAGACTTCTGCCTTCCACAGTCAAGGATGAAGTGAATCAAGATGACGAACGCTACTTTTTGCATTTTTTTGTGGGTTTTTTCACTGGTTATTTTTGTTGTTGTCGCTTTTGTTACAGAAGTTTCTTATGTCTTTCTTCATTCAACATTATGATTGCGCCGCTTTTTTTTATGGTTTTTTCGCCGATTATTTTTGTTGTTGTTACTTTTTTTAGAGAAATTTCTTTCATCTTTCTTCATTTAACATTATGATTCTGACGCTCTTTTCGACGTTTTTTATGCATAGCAACATCATGATAGTTTATACATCTTGAAGAATTCCGTTAGATTAAAATATAAAAAAAAACATTTAACCTTCGTCTTGATCAATCTTCAATTCACACACTTAAAACTGATGCATAATGTCAAATAACTGCAACAAACACAGTTGGTTCTTTTTAAATTAATAAAATAATTAAGAGAACAATCTATATATATCTAGCATATTGCTTTTCGAGAGACTTATCACCATCAAAGAAACAAGAAGACTTTTGAGTCAATAATTTACAGAATCCAGTCCGAAAAATTGGAGAAGATACCTCAGCTTCTGTCCAATCTTAGAAATTGTTTTTTAAAACTTTCAAGGTGTTATGTTAAACTCGAAAAAATACAAGTTTAACTTATTTTTTGTCTCTATTCCTCTGTCTGAAGTGTCAATAAAGTATTTTCTATTGAAATAATCTTGCAAATAGTTCATGTTTTGCACGTCTCTACATTGATATGGGTGTCAGAAAATTATATAAAATTACGGCCACACTATCCTCTGTCTCTCGACAACATCAAAACAATACAACAACAATAGATTCAAAATTATTTTGTAAATTGTTTACCATTAAAATGTCATGTCTTTTTTCTCATTGTGAGAGAGATTTTATAAAATAAACAAATGTATAATATTCTCTATTCTTTGATTTTTCTTGCATTAGTGTTAAGAAATAATGGATTAAACTGTCTTCTACGCACATACTACCGTCTGTGTCTCCATAACATCAAAACAATACAACAACAATAGATTTTAAAATTATTTTGTAAATTGTTTACCATTAAAATGTCATGTCTTTTTTCTCATTGTGGAGAGAGATTTTATAGAACAGACAAATGTATAATATTCTCTATTCTTTGATTTTTCTTGCATCAGTGTTAAGTAATAATGGATTAAACTTTCTTCTATGCACATACTGCTGCCTGTGTCTCCATAACATCAAAACAATACAACAACAACAATAGATTTCAAAATTATTTTGCACGTTGGTTACCATTAGAATGTCATGTCTATTTACTAAGTGGAAAGCCAGACAGTAGAAGTTGATGAAAGAAAGAATAATACAACATTCTCTATTGTTTAATCTTTTTCTCAATATTGTTGAGAAGTCATGGCATCGCATTTTTTCTTTATTTTTGTACCTCGACCTTAAATATTCCATAATCCGGCATTGTAATACATTCTCGAAACTTCTCATAACAAATATACACATACAAAAGAAGAAAGAAAATTCATTCTCTACTAATTTTACAGACAGAAGCATTCAATTTCAGTTTGTTGTGCGATCGTATATTTTATTATATAAAGAAGAAACAACATTCGAACAGTAGCAAAATGGAGTGGGGTTTACGCCTTGCCTTGGTATTGTTGGCTTCATTGTGTATTTTACTCGATGGAAGCCATTTTCGTGGTGGTATCATTTCATGGTAAGTATACTCAAATAATGCTTGTTCTTCTAATCAACCTTGTATATTTTACTTTTTACGCTCTTCTTTTTTCTTAGGCGTCCGTTAAATAGTACAGTAACGGGTAATTATACAACAATTCTAATACATCAAAGATATTTTTGGTGGAGAAATTTTAGCAGTTTTCCTGTACCTTTATGCACCGAAGCAAATGTCATTGCTGGAACACCTATTACTGTGTCCGGTGCTATTTTGAAGTGTATGAAGAACTGCGCAAGTTCTAACTTTCCTACAGCTGGAATTCCAGCCAATATGATAACTTCAGATTGTGATTCAAACCTGCTCATTGAGTCATGGGGTGGTGAACTCTACAGTAATCTGTCATTACATTTGACAACAGACATTACAATTGGCTTTAACTCAAGTGCATGGTTGGGTGCACTTTATCATGGTGGTGGTCTTGGTTGGTCGATTGTCAATCGACTGAAGCTAACTCCGAGACCTGATGGTTATATCAATTCCAGTCCTGTTACAACTACATTACCATGTATACTGTATCAAAGAAATGTAGCAGTAGTTCATGTTGTACAGATGTCAGATAATGATGCTAGTGATATATTGCAATGCCGTTGGTCCAATTCGAATCAAACATATAACTACGATCAAGTTGATGAATGTGGCGGTGTCTGTGGTGGAATGCCCCCTTCAACTGGACTCACCGGAGCCAATTGTACGTTGACATTCACTCTACCAAATGCGAATATCTATTATGCTGTTGCATTGCAAATCGAAGATTATTATGATACTAGCTCTCCGAGTCCAATGAGTTCAGTTCCAATACAATTCTTATTCTATGCATACAATCCTGGAGCTGGTGCATGCACATATGTTCCTTCAATTATTGGTGTCCGTCCAAATAGAGGTATGAATATATATTCTATTCTAAATTAAACTCAGACATTTAATAATAATATCTTTTGTCTATTTAATTCTCTTTAGCTTGCATTGGAGTTCCAGTCGGTAAGTATTGTGAATGATTTTTCTTTTCTATTATTTACAATCTATGTTTTAGGTGTTCAGCTCAATGAAACCGTAGAGATACAAACATATTGTCCTGGTCAAGCAATTATTGATTTGGTCACTAGTTCACCTTATGGAATGCAACATAGTAAAATTAGCAATCCAAGTACTGGTTAGTAGTGAATAGTAGTTTGTTGGAATATGCAAAATTTTGAATTTCAAATATAAAATCATAGGTTTATGGATAATGACATTAACATGGACACCCATAGCAAATCAATTAGGTCCTCAAGGTTTTTGTGCGGGTGCAATTGACAATAGTAGCTTACAATCGGCTCCATGGTGTATTACTTATCTAGTTGGCTATGACTCACCGAATTTAATTCTTCCTGTATTGGTACAAGGATCAGCAAGTCCAATAGGTACTGTCTTTTCAAACCAATCGTTGTTTTCCATACAAGGTACGCATTTTCTCGACATATAGTTTTCGTTTATTCTTAAATTAATCCGATATTCTCTATCTCCTACTTTAATTACATAGCAACAAGTGCAGTTGGTCGTCCTTCTCGTAATACAACAAATGTTTGTTTTCACTATGACTCTACAAATGCAACAGTTTTCTGTTATGATGCTGGATATTCTCCAAATGTTATTTATACTGGATATACTATTGTAATTGTTACAAATTATGTATGGACACCTGGTCAATCCTATTATGTAACAATGGATAATGGATTTGCTAGTGGAAGTGTCTTTTGTCGTAAGTGTTTTTGTCTATTTTTTCCATTAAAGTAAAAAATTAAATATTTTATCATAATTGATGTAAATCTACAGATGCTGAATCGTTAGCCATTACTGATAAAACATTTTGGCGATTCGATATCTGGAATCCAGCACTTTCAAGTACAACCACAACAACTACTACTCCACCAACAACTCACACAGTTACAAGCCTAGGAACAACTACTACTTCAATTAATACTGCAGTAAGTTTATTTAAATTATCATTCTATTCACAATATTACACTTTTTCATAGTGTACAACAAGTGGAATAGTAGTAACTAGTACGAATGCTTCAACGACTACAACAACTGCCAGTACCACACCTCCAACTACAGCTGGTAAGAGATGGCATTTTCTATAAAACATTTATTTTTGATAGAGTACTTTATAATTGATTAATTTGTATTCTAGCTCCAACAACAGCAGGTCCAACTACTACAGGCGTAACGACTGAATCAACTATTCCTGTTTTTTATCCAGTAGATTTCGTAAGTTTCTATTGAAATATGATTGATATCCTTGACATAAATGTATATATATATATATTAGGAAAATGCATGTAAACAACCAGTTGCAATTATGTCAGCTGTTATGATGGTTGCTTTCATGCCTATACAGGCTCTGGCAATGTATGCTGCTTTCACAAAATTCTCGAATACGTTCAAACCATCAAACACCGCTGCAAAAACAAGACATCAACAACGAATGAAAAATATTCTTCGACGTTAAAGACAGTTGTCTCTTGTCTCGAACATTTGACACTATTTTATTTTATTTCATAATCATGCTATTTATCAAAGTGTGAAACCAACCCTTTTGTTTGTTCCCAACTAACATTTTTCTCTATTTTTTCCAAAAATAATGATTTTGAGTGTTTTTTGTTTGAATACATAGATTATACTAACACTGGCGTCTAAATAAAATATATAAGAATTAAAAGACAAAGATTTTATTAACTGAATCGTTGGATCATATAAAATAAGAGTGATATCTGTAATAGAATCGTTGATATCATTTGAGTGTCGAAAAAAGAAAATGTTTTTAAGCATCATCTGAATAGAGCATTGTTGTTGAGAATATCTATAAGATGTCGTCAATCAGATCTGATAACTTGTTACAAATTCCTTGGAACTCTGAATATATTTTGAGAGTATATGCGAATTGATGAAACTATATAACTTATTTTCATTGTACCCACACCCACTCTGTTTAATTAAATATTTAAAATTTATGATATTGCATTCATTCGTATTCGTGTGTATCTAGTACGTTAAATAATGAAAGATTCACGTTGATTTTATAGTTCTTTTGTCTGTTTAATTTGTATAGAATGAAAACACACAACACGACATTTTCAATCCACGCGTCTCACTTTTTTATTGTGTGCAAGAGAATACAAAAATTGTCATGAAGACTAAAAGAATTTAAGTTGTATAATAAAGTAGAAATAAGAAGAAGAAAGCATATAATGTGATTCTGTTCCCCAGTGCTTTATATGAATGTGTCGCATATCAGTACGAAATCTAGTCCAGTTTGAAACAGATTTTTTTTGTACTCGAAATTAATATTACTATTAAGTTTTAAGTTTATATACGATATTTTATGTTTTCAAGTCAATGTAAAGATTGGATAGGCATGAAGAATACAGATTTACAAAGTATCATTGAAGTTATCATCCACAATTTATGGTATTCGATTTCTCTCATCAATAAAATGTATTTTTATACCACTATCGATTATATCTTTATTTCAAGAATATGAGAAATAATCTTAAAATATAATTTAATGTTGAACTCAATAAGATCTATTTAGTAAAATTATTTTAATACTTGATGTGTATTTTTCAGTAATAAACGTTCCCACTAATTATTTAATGAAATCGATTATATACAATGAATTTTGTATGACACCTTCAATGTTACCTTTTACATATATACCTTTAATATATGCCCAACAACTAATTTAATTATAGATATAAATTGATAAACTAAAAATTTTAGTTACGATTAAATTAGTTGTTATATTAAATTTAAATTAAAACAATATAATTTAATTCTATACTTTCATGCTATTGTTGAATCTCAGGGAAAGAAAAAACCTATCAAAATTTGAAAAAAGATACATTTACAAAAATACGAATTTTTACGCGTTAATTTTTACTCTTTGTCTGATCAGGTAATTATGCATAGCTAAACTATATATTAGTCAAATGCAGCAATTTTTGATTTTTGAGTGACATGACATAATCTAATTCTTCTCTAGGAGATAATAGACAGTACTGGATATTTGCGAACAAGTGAGATATAGTAATAAATTTTGATTGATATCATTTTACTGGTGTAGGTGTGGATAATTCACACCCACACCCATATATTGTAATTGGGATATAAAAATATTTATAGTGATCATCAACGATAAATGATCTAACAGTAGTAGAGTAAATCAAAATTTATTTCTAAATTTTCATTGAAAGTGGAAGAACACTATGTATAATGGCGACAATACTCGAATACTTGATCGATTATCTTTCTGAATATATAAATAAATATAATCACGTTATAGTTTTATGAATGTGTTGAATCATTTTCGTTGAAAGATATTTATTTCAGGTGAAGTATTTATTAATGAGACAATCCTGTTTTAGTAGAAGATCTCGAATATTTTATTATATTCTAGTCTATGAATCTCTCAGAGTCATTTAAAATGAGTTTCATCACATAATGAACGTATCTGATTGATACCATATATATATACCCGTCAGAACTGAAAGTTTATAGCCATTATGATGATATTTCAAAAAACAAATTCTAAATATAATGGTCGTTAGACTACTACACGATTTGAGCATGTAGATGGATCTTATATTTACAGGCACACCCTCATATAAATCTATCTACTCACTGTAAATTTTTTTGAAATTCTAAGAATGCCTTGGCTGCGTTTAGCAATTTTTAAATTTTATAAGTCGCTAGTTGATTTTTGAATTTTTATGAAATCGTTGATTTTCGCGAACCTATAAATTCAAATTTATTTCCCAGAAAAAAACTGTAGATTGAAAATCTCTAGTAATTTTCAAATATTTGGAAAATGCTGGTCGAATACATATAGGCATTCTTAGAATATCCTTCAAAAAATTCTATAGCTTATTTTCTAGTTTACAATGTAGTCCAGTTCTTGGCCCCCATAATTATGTTTAATGATTTTGAGATTTTTGATTGGTGTGTTTGTGTGCAATACAACCTTTTTTCCGCAATGCTAGCTTCACATCGATACTAAAAATTAACTAAACACATAATATCAAATCGAGACAGTTCTGAAAAACTCTTTATTTATTTCACAGTATTAGGGTGGTAGTTTAGCTGTACTGGTGTACAAAACTAAAAAGTATTCAACTTCTGAAAGGCCAAGGTTTTGATTGTAGCCGAACTTCTTCCGTATACACTGCTTACTTAACATCACCTATCGCTCGTAATTGCCTTATCTATCTTTGCTGTCGTATGCCCCTATGCGTTTTTTGTTTTTTTTGTTCTTTTTCTTCGTTTCTTTAATCTTTATCTATCTTGTATGTGTGCTGACTAACGAGGGAACGTTGCCAGCTGCCCCTTCGCTTTTTCAATAAAAATTATTGGGCTAAAGGTTATTCACTATGCTGATTTCGAATATGGGCATGAAAAATGCCCTTAGGCTTTACTTCACTATTTATAAAAGGTTTGCAGTGATCTGATATTTATTACAGTCAGCTCCTATATTTCAAATCTTGTCCAAAGAGAAGAACTTGAGACTGTTTCATTAATGACACTCTTACCCTCAGCCTCATCCCGTAATTGCTGAAAAGTTGCGCATTTTTGTACACGGCAGCAAAATGAAATATTCATTACGCCTAAAAGAATGATAACTTCAAATCTCATAGAGTACAGATGCAAAATCAATTGTATTAGATAGCTAAAGAATTAGGAATATTCTACACATGTTTATATACTATTCTTAAGTTCATTTTATATCTATATGAATTATAGTAGACTATCAAAACGCGAGACTGAAAATTAACAGCCATGATTTTTATCAATAGTACAACTGACAACTTTGTTTGTCAAAATGTGGAAGAATGTAGTTGTGGATGTGGATTGAGAAATGGAGAAGCTGTTTCTCGTGTGCTATACACACATATCCATGCTTACATCTTGACGTTAAGTGATAATTTGAGATTGCATATAAATACATTTTCATTTTTAGAGATTTATTTGAGAAAATTAGAAATCTCCTGAATTAAGATGAAGAGATTTCATTTATCGCCGACAAAATTAAACGAAACCCAAAACCGTGATGATCTGCGAGTCGTATGGATTGGTTCCATTCATGCACCGGATGAGTTAAAAGGCTTTGATGAGTATTTAAAAGAATATGACTCATGTGAAACTTGTGAAAATGATATAAAGGAAGTTGAAAGTGAACGTAAATTTCTTCTTGTAGTAAAAAATTTTATACCTAAAACAGCTTTGGAAAGCTTATGCCAAATTCAGTCAATTTATATTTTACAAGAAAAAGACCAAGACCTCGAATATAATTCCAGAAATCATTCGAAAATAGTTGGAACATTTAATAGTATTGATACACTAGTCAACCGGCTACATAAAGATATCTTATTGACGTATCGAGGTGATTTACCCATCAGCATATCTCCTTTACATGAAATTAAAAACGAACAGTCGTTAACGAAAGTCAATGGAAATACATTAATGTTTGTGTGGGATCAAATTTTTATTTATTATCTAGTTCATCCTATTACATTCACTATGGAGGAATTAAAAAGTGACATGTTAAAACAATGCGAATTAGATTATAAACATGATAAAGTTCAACTAGAGTTGATCAAGACGTTCGGTGAAAATTGTTCAGATGACAATGCATTAGAATGGTATAGCAAAGATTCATTTCTATATCGACTTTTAAACAAAGCTTTGCGAACGAGAAACATTGACTTTATGTGTAAATTTCAATATTTTATTATTCGTCTCTATCAAAACTTTCAAGGTTTATCAAAATCACAAGAGAAAACTTGTTCAGTTGTTTATCGTGGACAAATTATGAAGAGAAGTGAACTTGAGAAATTAAAGTCAAATGTTGGATGTTTGATTTCGATCAATACAATTCTATCAACATCATGTAATGAAGAAATTGCGCGTTTATTTATTCATGGAGCCGAAGATGGAGTGATTTTCAAAATTAATATTTCAAATGAAAATGAGAAGTCATTTAGATCATTTGCTGATATTTCACAATTTAGTACAATACCATCAGAAGAAGAAGTATTGTTTTTTATTGGAACTGTTTTTTCTCTTGATTCTGTTCAACATACAACTGACTCACCATGTGTTATTGAACTGACGCTCAATAATGATCCATCGAATCATCTTAGAAAATTAGTTTCTGTTTTCGCACCAGATGGTCAGATGAATACAGAAACGTATCTTTCCAACGTGAAAACAATTGAACCTCAATATACCATTCCAGGATTTCTTAACTCGATCGTCGATTTATTTATTAAGAGAATTAAAATGAGTCATCGTTCAATTATGAAAACAGATGATTTTAATATGATCGAGCAATACTATCATCTATTAACAGGAAAACAATTTTCATCAAGCAATAATCCTACGATGATGGTTTATATTCATCTTGCTTTTTTTTTCAGTAATATAGGCTTCTATGACAAAGCAATCCAGGTATATGAGCAAATTCTCTCATTTCAGAATATCTCCCCAAATAGTCCTCAATTCATAGTTATCCATATTATCATCGGTTATCTTTATTATCATTCATCTCAATATGATGAAGCTTCTTTGCATTATGCTATTGTATTATCTTTATTAAGTGAAGAAGATTTAATAATAGGCGAACTTTATAGGCATATTGCTGATATCAAGAAAGAAAAGAACGATGTCTGTACTACTTTATCATATTATCAAGAAGCATTGAGAATTGCAAATAATCGATATATTCCTTCTTTACGATATATTTATCTGGGGGTCATCGATATATTAAAAACACAGGACAACCTTCATGAGGCTGCTATTTATGAAAGGCAGTTAAACAAAACTGATCCGGATCAGTACTATATACCAATATCGACGTGGGGTGATTCAACTCTGTTATATGATTGTCGATTCCAATTGAATAAAGAACAGCAACCAATTAAACGTGCAGATTTATTATATAAAATTGGTCTACATTGTATAGTACAAGGTCATTTTATGGAAGCTTTAGAACATCTTTTACAGTCGAAGGATCTCTATATAACTCAGCCACCATCATGGGATCGTTTTCCTCGACATTTAGCTGCATTATTCGATAATATTGGAATGCTCCATCTATTTTTTAAAGATTATTTGAAAGCTTTAGTCATGTGGAGGAAAGCTATTGATATACGTACTAGTTTTCCTTCTTATTAAAGTGTGGGATATGGGTGTCGGTGTGGGTAATGAATAAAAAGGATACATACACCCTCACCCACATTCACACTCTGTTCCTCTAACATCACTATTTAGTGCTTTATTTCTTGTATTCTAGTTGAAAATGATTGTTTAAGATCGAAGATTTCTATTATTTAATAAAAACAAGTATACATTGCATAGTTTCTATATTTCGCCTATTTATTAGATATTGAAGAAGATCACTTTAAATAACAAGAAATAAAGATTTCTCTGTCATTCATTTTTAATTGTCTTCATATGAGAATCCATTACAGATTATGTTTATGATTAAAATCAAAAAAATGATGAGCAAGAATATGACATTATATAGTAAATGAAAGGAATTATAATCAATAGTTATCATATTAGTCTGTAACGTATTTCATCACTATAGATATGATTATTATTTGTTCGTTTAAAAGAAATTCTTTAGTATTCAATATTAAATAGTTGTTTCTTCACAGACTGTTATAATTTTGCGATCGTTTAGTACGTTTTCTATTTCCAGTCGTATAACAAAATCTTATTATAAAATTCTAAAATTAAATTTTTTATATATTTATTTAAATACGGATAAATGATAATAGTATTTCATGATTAGTTATTTTTATGCAATAAAGATTTAACTGACAAAAGGTAAGCTGTCTTAAGAAGAGAAAAAAAAAACTTTCTAGTAGACGAAAACTGCTCTTTGAACTCAATCATATTTCTATTTATTAAAATTTTTGCATCGTAATAGTTTATTTAATGAATGATGAATTTATCAAAAACATTTTCGAAATACAAAGGCTAATCTAACTGCTATATTATGCATGATTGTATGTGTCATTAGAATGTTTTTCACAGTTAGAATCTAATTAAAACCTGGATTGAATGTCATCTACATATATTGTTAGTTGCAGATGTAACTGTATACAAACAAAAAAAAAACACAATCATTCTGAACTTTTTAGTCTATCTCCTAAAATGTCCTTTCAGATCATTATAAAAAATAGAATAAAGTGACTATTTATTTCACTATGACTTTAAATAATTAAGTCGTGTCTACATGGTTTTTACGGATTTTATAATCGAATTTTATATCGCATTTCCTTTAACATTTCCTTCTAACAGTCTTTATTTTTCAAAGGAAAAGCTATTCTTTCACTTAAACATGATAGCATTTGTCAATGTCACAGAATTATTAATTTTGATGACGTTCATGTGTAAAATGAGTTTCAATTCAACAAAAATTTGCTGCATTTTAGTTATTTATGATCATCATAGGACACGTATTATATATATATATATATATAACTTACAGTTTTTTAATATGCATATAGAGAATATGTTATATATTAGATAGTTTATTTGAATGAACAAGTTTATGCTTAAATAATTTTTATATTTATAATTCTAACGAATAGATCGTGCATATGAACATTCATTTTTATAGATATAAATAACAATCACAATAACCTACATAATCTAATCTCATTGCTCTTCTCATCATAACTAATGGGTAAGTCATTTTACATAATAGAGTCTCAGGCAATATTCAATTTTTGTAATGAAAATTTTGTTGAGTTTTTATTTACTATGTTATTATTTTTTCTAGAAGTGAAAAAAACTATTAAATGACAGGAAGGTCACTATAGTTTGTCATATATTACTGCGAGATACTCAATAGTACTTGTTATTGAAAAACTCCTCCATTATCTAATGAAATCTATGTTTTTTATCTTAATAAAAAAAATGACAGGAGGGATTTTATGAAATAGAAATCTTAATGATGTAAACACAGTCAATTTCATTAATAATAAAAGCAAAACAAAATATGAGAATGATTACATGTAGATGTGTACGTCAAACAAGTTCTAATTATCAAAAGTAGATAATGAGAGATGCTACATTTTTTCCTTTTCCTTTCACGGACATTTCATTGTAAATCTCATTTATAAACACTTCAGAAAATCCAGAAAAATTTATTCTTTACTTTTTTTTTCATAGACAACATGACGGACGCTGCCATCATATCAACATTAAATAATATTTCAGTTGAAATAAATGCAATTTTTCCTATTATTCTTTTAATAGCCGGTACTTTCGGTCATATATGTAATGCTATTATATTTTCCAAACGTTCTCAACGTACAAATCCAATAGCAGTTTATTTTCTTTGTGGTACAATACCGAACATAATTGTAGTTTATCTAGGAGTATTAATACGTTATTTTCAAGATAATGAAAATATTGATCCTGTAAATAATAATCTTATTGCATGTAAAATACGTTCATTTTTAATATATCTATCATTCAGTTTATCAAATTGGTATATTTTACTGGCAACAGTTGATCGTTATTTAATAAGTTCAGATAATAATAGTCGACGATTATTAAGTTCAGTTAAGAATGCTTATCGTGCAATTGGTATTGTGACGATTGTTTCTATACTTCTCTATTGTCATATTCTTATTTTATATACTATTCAAACATTTCCGAATGCATCTAGTCATTTACAGAATTACTGTTATCCACAACGTGGTTC